GAGATGGGATATGGGTGTGTCAAGTTTGAAAGCCAGCAACCTATCTTTAACCGTTAATACTCTAATCCTGAATAATCTGTCTTTATGGATTAGTCCCATACTCTGGTGATGAGAAGTTGTGATGAAACCATCTTCCCCTAAATTGTAGACTTCTATTAGTACATCACCATTCAAATGTACTTCACTAATCTTCCCCACCGTTCCTGGTTGATCATATATGGATACCCAGTCGCTTGATAAGAGGGTAGGTTCTTTTATCAAAATCCTGACCCAATCCAAGGGGATAATATCAATTATCTGATCCAAAACTTATTTCTGATGATGGCAATATCTCAATTTTCCATGGAGGTTCGGGAGGTCAATCCAGTACTTAGTCTCTTTATTCCAGATATCCTTGATTCGCGTTACTCCCTTTTTAATCCATCCTTTCCAAGAAGAATCTGTGCAACTTAGTGTGCAGCCTTGGGAGTCTCTGATTAGGATATTGTTGAATAATTGTTGCTGACAAACTTCTTCCCATCTCTCTAGAGTTACTTTATCTGGGATGGGTAATTTCCTCCAAGTTTTAAGGAGGTCTATCCAGAAGGGATCTCTTGATAAGTTTCCTCTGGCTGCTTGACGATCAGATAACTGTGGATTATGAGTCTCCCTTGGGGACATCCTTGGGAGTGACCATGCTCGATTCTCTAACCACATTAAGGGGTCAACCTCATCTGGGGTAGTGAGAGCAAGACGTCTAATTTTTTCACAAGCCAGAGCAGTCCATGGGGTTTGGGGGTTGAGGAGAAGGCGTTTTATCCATTGAATTGAGAGGGTCTTTGCTTGAGTAATGGGGTCAATTATTCCTAGGCCACCTATTGATTTAGGTTGGATTATGGATTGCCACGCCACTCTACTAAGAACATTTTTGGATTCATGATTGCCTCGCCAAAGATATGCTATCAACTGTCTCTGCACAATTTTAATGGACGTTTTGTCAAGAGCCCAGACAACAGATTATACCAAATGGAGGCAAGGACCACGTTGTTAATTGCTAGCGATCTTCCTATCAAAGAGGTATGTTTATCCTTCCATAATTCCAGTTTTGAGATTGCATGTTTCAAAATTCCTTCGCTATTAGATGCTGGTTTGCCTAAGGCTGAGAGAGAAATCCCAAGAACCCTCACTGGGGAATCAATAGGGAGCCATTTGATTATAGGTCTTTCTGGTGGCCTAACTCCTTGATAGTGAATCCACCATTCTAAGGTTTTATTTCCCCAGTTTACCCTCATATCTGATATCTTACAAAACTCATCCATGATTCGTTGTATTGCCTCAAGATTTTCATGTGAGGCGTCAACCATAAGAGATAGATCATCAACAAAAAGGGAACATACTGGTATAGCATCCTCTGGTATGGATGTAATTTGGATGCGTTTAATGTCTTTATGATGACGAATGTGAGCTGCTAAGGCTTCCATGATGATTACAAAGAGGAGCGGGGCTATAGGATCGCCATGCATAATTGATCTTTGTAATGTTATGGTCGAGGCTATGTTTCCATTTACCATGACTCTTGTAAAGGCATCCTCGTGCAGAATTTTAACTCACCTCCTAAAATTTGGGTCAAAATTGAACTTCTCCAGACATTTATCCAGGAAAAGTCAATCCACATGGTCATAAGCTTTCTCAAAATCGATGAAGATGAAAGCAACATTATGTTTGGATTGGCGAGATAGCTTGACTAACTCATTAATGAGTAGGATTTTATCTTGGATATAGTTTCCTTGAATGAAGCCGGTTTGCGTTGGGTGGATAATATCGGAAATATATTTATTCAGGCGGATCGTGAGTGCTTTGGATATAAGTTTATATACTACTGAGAGGAGAGTAATAGGGCGATAGTTTCAAATGTTACATTTGTCCCCTTTTTTATACAGTAGAGTTAAGACTCCTTGCCTCACTATTTCTCCTAACTGCCTGAAGTCCATACTTCGTGATAAAAGTTTATTAAGTCTTGAGCTGTTTGTGTTCACATTAATCAATTTAACAGAAGTTGGCTGGGAGGTGATCAGGGTGGGAGGCTGAGGAAAGTAATTTGGGAAGGGGGACACGTAAAAACCCAGGAATCCCTTAAAAAAAAATTTCGGCTTGTCTTTAATGATTGGACCCCCGTTGACTCCTCTATTCCTCTAAAGTCCATGGCCGAATTTCCTGATTTCTTCCCTCCTCCAAGTAATTGTATTGTGACCCTTGCTTGGTTTGGATAGTTAGCTAGTAAAGTGCTTGGATTTCATGTTTATTTGACACCCATTAAGGGTGAAGAAGTGCTATGCTAGTTGACTTCCTTCTGTTGATCATGGATATCAGACGACTAGAGCATTGATCAGTGGATAATTGTTTAACATTGTAGAATTGACTCATTAGGTTCTAAGCTGGTTCCCACTGGTTACCCCCGGGTAGACTGTGAAGACCCCGACCTCAATCATCATATTGATAATATCAGCCTTGGGCACTGGGCCTTTTAAATTAAAAAAAAAAAAAAAAAAAAAAAAACTCAGTTGGTTCACCAATCAACTGCTGGAAAAAAAAAAAAAAAAAGTCTTGAGCTATGAAATCCCAGAGTGACTCCCAGAATTCTTTTGGTAATCCATCTATACCTGGTTTTTTTCCTTCTTCCATGAGCATGAGGGCAGTCCATATCTCGTCTTTTGTTATTGGTTTTTCTAGTATGTTCTTCTGAGATTTAGATAACAATTTTTTCAAAGGTTTAAGAAAATCCTCAATGTCCTTGATTCGTTGATTGATATGTGTGGTTACTGTCTCTGATAGGAAGAGGGATTTAAAAAAATCTCTTGCAATTTTGGTACATTCTGCTGTGGATGTTGCTAGTTGTTCATTTTGGCGTAGGGGATGTGCAAGAGCGTTGATTATTGTTCTCCCTGTCCTTGCTCGTGCCATGGCAAAAAACCTTGCATTCATTCCACCTTCAGTGACCATTTTTCGAAGCTTTCCCCTGATCCTAGTTCCTTGCCATCGATATTCCATGAGCGATAGGAGACGATCTTCTAGTTCCTGGATTTCTTGTGCGATTAATTCATCATTCTCTTCATCGTTGGGATCATTTTCTAGTGATTGCAATTCCTGGATCCATTGGTACAGTCTTGATTCATTGGAATGGCGTTCTGCTGCTAAAATCTTTGAATATTCATTGCATTTACGGCCTAAAAAAAGTAGACCGTTGTTGAGCCATGTTATGTTATCCTGGACGAGGTTCTTCTGTTGACGCCAGAAGATCCAGACATCCTTGAGGTAAGTTTTAAATCTCTCTATATTTAGCAAGGATGTATTGAGCTTGTAGTAGCCTCTACCTTGGTCGGTTTTTTTGGAGAACGAGAGAAGGATTATGCACATAGCATGGTCTAGGCCTGGTAGAGGGCTTTTAGGGAAGATTTTTTCTGCTGCTTGTACAGCTCCTTCCAGCCCTTCTGATAGGAGAATCAGAACAATCCGTGATTTGGAGACTGCTCTTTACTGGCTTTTCCTAAAACATGAGAAGGTACGCAATGTTGGGTCACTACTTAAGGGTGCTCAGTTTGGGAAAGCAAAACACTTAGAAAAAAATCAGGAGGAGGACAGACAACAACAGGAAAACAAACAACTGTTTGTGTGTGTGTGTGTGTGTGTGTGTGTGTGTGTGTGTGATCATTACGAGCCTTTTCCACCCAGATGAGTAGATCCACGGTGTGTACATGAGAGAGAGGAGGAGGAGGGGGAAGGAGGGAGATCCCACATTGCAGCAACGACGAACCGGCCGGGAGGGGGGCATGTTCGCTAATGCCATGTGGCATGCCATAATGTGACCTCTCCCTTCAAATCTCTTCTCCCCCTCTTTTCCCTCTCTCACACACAAACACATGTGTGTGCACCGACATTTGAGGACGAAAGAAGAAGAAGAGGAAGGAGAAGAATGATGGAGGAGAAGACGGGGGGCACAGAGTGTGATGGCTCCATGTGGCACCCCAGGATGTCCCTGCCTCACTCTTCTGCCCCCCTTTTCTCACTCTGTGCATGTGTTGTCATATTCGCTATACACTAAAAAAAAGCATGACCGTGCCAAACCGTTTCGTCAGACTTTCACCAACTCGTCAGGAGGTTGAACCCGGACAGACAGTCTGGCCCGGATGCATTTGACTGATGGATAAGGACTCACGGTCACTCACCACATCGGCCAGCAGATGTGTCAGAGGTCCAAACCCCTGACAAGAACGGCAGTAAGCCTGAGAAACTAATCTGACACAGTCATAAAACCCACTCTACAGCCACTCAGCCATGGACACCCAATGGCATGACCACCTGTGCGTGCGTGCGTGCGAGCGAGCGAGCGAGCGAGCGAGCGAGAGAGAGAGAGAGAGAGAGAGAGAGAGAGAGAGAGAGAGAGAGAGAGAGAGAGAGAGAGAGAGAGAGAGAGAGGTGGATGGGGGCTTGCATTCTACCATGTAGCGAGGGCCAAACTCCCAACTGCACTCCCATTTTGTCTGGTCCTTGAAACTGAGTCTTGTGGGTGTTTCTCATCCTCCTATCGTTTTACCTAAGCCACTAACTCACCTGATGTTCTTCCCTGCCACAGTTTCATGAATGCCTGCCTTAACCACTTGCACTTGGTTTCTTTGTTTCAGGTCCTGTTTCCATTCCATTCAATTTTCGCCCAGATATATTCTTTTTGCACCAGCAGGTCCTCTTTTTTTTTTTTTTTTTTTTTAATCCTTTTCCATTCTGGGGAACATCAGTCCGGCTCCTTTTCCACCGGCAAGTCAGAAGGGATTACACCAATAGATGGAGCAGCCCGCTGGCCGAGCTCTCAATTCTGGCGGTTCTCCTACCACCGCCGGGATAGTGGACTCGCAAAAGGGCTTTATAAAAAAATAAAAAATAAAAAATAAAATAGAAGGGATTACAATAAGAACGCACTCAGTAGGTCGGTTGTTTCTTGCGTTTCCATTTCTTCTGCTTCTTCCTACATCCTCGATTTCTAGGGCGCTTCTTGCACTCCGTGCCGCCTAGATCAGTAGATGACCTCCACATGATCCTGGTATACCACAATATATAATACATATTACATTCCAAACTGACTGGCATTTAGTGCATTGAAAACCAGTACAGTCATGACAAACTGCTGGTGAACATATCTGGATTTGTTCGAGTCATTGCCGTCCATCACTCCAACCCCTTGCCCTTCTTCAATTTGAACTCAGATTGTCCTACGTACTCTCACCGTGTTAAAGCTGGTGATGCTCCATCTATTGGTAAGGAGTAGTAAGGAGGAGTACCCTCTGTTGGTGACCGGTCAATCAGTCAAGACGCTTGATTCCTTCGTTGAGGGTGCATTTTATTTTTGAGTCGACTTAGTTCACAACTTGTCAGACCAGCTTTCCGCTCCATTTCCTCCTCCCCTACCCCTGTCTCTTATACACATCTAGATGTGTATAAGAGACAGGACTTTCACTGGGCCATAACCAAC